GTTCCGACAGGATCCGTTACTCTGATTGGCTAATCGTGTCCCCTGTTGTGTCAGGGCCAACGATTGGCCCAAGAGTTAGTGCTCTGGGCATACTATTTGTCTCCTGGAGCCGTTGTATTTGTCTTGTAGTGGGGATGCTCTTGACGAGGCCGAACTTCTCGCGCGGGCGTTCCACCCTGAGGGAACGCCCAGGCGTTAAAGCTCTTACTAAGGCATCCATTTCCGCCTCCCTTATCACCCAAACGCTCTATGAGAAAACCCTAATCGAGCTATAACCTTGTGTGAGAGAAAGAGAGGCTAATCTTGTGTGTTCTAGTGCACTTTTGGAAGGAGGTTGGAGAGCATCAAGGCTTGGAACGAGGATGGACTTTTGGATCTAGTGATCTTCAGTGTTAGCTTCTGTCTGGAGGTAAAAAGCTACCACTTTGATCATTTCTTTTGTTAGGTCTCTTTCTAGGGAGTTTTAGGGCTTTCTCTGATCCATCTTTTGGGTATTGAGTCATTTGAGCATGACATGAAGTTGAAACATCAGATCTGGACTGAATGAGGTCCCTTGAGTCTAAAGATCCAAGCTTTATCATGCTAGTGACAAGCTTTTATGCATTAAACCCCATATAGAGCTTATTATGGCATTTTGAGCCCTAGATGACATGCATGGACGTAAAGCTTGAAACTTTACATGGTATTTCAGCCTTGGGAGGCTAGATCTAGAGTTTGGGACATTATTTATGCTTAGAATCGTTGGAATGAGAATTAGTCTAGAGGGACTCGACGAGTGCATGAGTCAACTCGACGAATCAACAAGGGTTTCCCTGATAGTCTGAACGCACTACAACTCGGCGAGTTGATGAGACCACTCGACGAGTTGATTTGGAGTTTTCCCAATTTTCTGAGAATAGGGGGAACTCGATGAGTCACATAGGTGCACTCGCCGAGTTGGGTCAATAGGGACCGTTGACTCGAGTGTTGACTTCCGTTGACTTTTAGGGTTTGGTCAATTGTGGACTTTGGAGACCATGGAGGGGTAAAATGATCTTTTCACCCTTTTTAAGATATAGTATGGGAGTTAGCTTAACATCTCGAGTGGTTATTACAAATTGCTTATTAGAGATAATTATGTTATGTAGGCGGAGTCTAGGCCGTTCGTGGGGTACTAGATCTACTTGCTTACTTACGAGGTGAGTCTTCTCACTATACTTACCTGAGTGGTAATATTGTGTGACCGGAGGGTCTTATTTGAGTTATCGACCGGAGGGTCCTATGTGTTTATATTGAGTTATGTGATATTATGCATCTTGTCTTTGTGATATATGCTATATTATTTTGTGCCTTACTGAGTAGGACCGGAGGGTCCAAACCGAGTTGTGAGACTGGAGGGTCCTCACTGAGATACAGGACTGGAGGGTCCGGCCCGAGCTGTGAATACCGGAGGGTCCTCACTGAGATACAGGACTGGAGGGTCCGGCCCGAGCTGTGAAGACCGGAGGGTCTTCATTGAGACACATGACCAGAGTGTCCACACTGAGCCGTGAGACCGGAGGGTCCTCACCGAGACGCATGACCGAAGGGTCCATGCCAAGCCATAGCCATGAGAGGCTTACTATTTGTGTATGTGGTATTTTGGGGAACACACTAAGCTTTGTGCTTACAGTGTTGTGTGATATGTGTTTCAGGTACTTCTCAGGATCGCGGGAAGGCGCCGACTTGATTGTACACACCTGTTGCAGATTATGTTGTGGATTCTGGATTCTGGGATGTCACACCCCCAAACCAGACGGCGGAAACGTCCGGGGGTGGAGGACTTCATTTGTAGTATCACAACACATGCATCATAGTAATCAAAGTACAAACAACCATTGTATTTAAAAAGTATAAATATTTACATGTGTTCAATCATTGTATATTGACACTAAAATAGTTATACAAAAGAAGACATGACTCAAAGTAGCTCCATCTTCTCAAAAAGCTTGGGGAGTACCTGTCTATTATTTTCTTGAGAATACAAGTAATTTGAAAAGAGAGTATCAACATAAAATTGAGTGAGTGCATAAGTGTTTATGTTTGAAAGGGTGTCTCTGTATCTTGCATATGTAAAACTGTTCCAGAAAATCCTATATTTTCTGTTGTATATGAAAAGTAGTTTTATTCCCATAAAATCGTTCTCTTTGTAAATCAATGTTTTGTATTTGTATTCCTTTATGTAAAACTTGTAACTGAGAGTGTGCCTGGCTCCACCAGCTGTTATTGAAAACTGTATTGAACCATTGTAGTTTGTATTCTGTAAACTGGTACTTTGAAGGTGTACTTTCGTTTAGTTGTTTATACATTAACATATTGTTAATATCTTTTTAATGAGTTATTATAACCATACTATGACAGGATGGCCTGAAACAAACGCTTTGTGGGCGTTTAAACTGTTGATAACAATTGCCACTCATTGGCGTGTATGCCTGACTGTAGCCAGCAGCCTGAGTGCGGGGTTGTCAATCCCGATAAAGATCTACACACAGCTTGTTTCGATCCCCTGGCTGAAGATTCTGGTTATAATGTCAGGACTTTACCTTGGTTGTCTAAATGAATTAAACAACTTGAATTGAATGACTCATAAAAAGCATATAAACGTTACATGTATATTAGTTATGAAAACCCAATCATTCTGAAATAAATGATTGACAGTATGTTCTTGAATTAGTATTTCGAACATGTATTTTGACAAGTGTAAACCCTTGATTTGTTCTGAATCAAAACCCTTGTTTCTTGTAAAACAGTGTATTCTAGTATACTTGAATCATGAATTATTGTTCTATGTATCATAAATTATACCTATTATAATTTATATGTACTTTCTGAATCGGTATTTAACTATGTTTGCATGTAATCCCTTGCTCGACATGTTACAAAGGTATTTGAATTGATGAAATAAATTTTATATTTATATATATACACAATTCTATATATAAGTAAAATTTTAAACGACACTCAGACAAATAACCGGTACTATAAGCCCACATCCAAACAAGGAAAAGGACCCATAATGAGTTATCAGTCCTAAGCCTTTTAAATCTTATTTATATACATATATATACAAATATGAATTTTGGGGAAAAATATAAGTTTATAAAAGAGTTTGATGTTTTGAGTATTTTTGATGATTTAATGTCGTTTTATCATGATTTGAAATCATGATTTTATTACACAAAGTTCTTGTGTTATGCTTGTATTCCCCCCCCCCCCTAAAACAGTAAAAATTATGAAAATACGAGGGTATGAACTCACATGATAGGTGGTGATTCGGACAACGTTTCGTTTCCCGAAAATGAGTTTATTTGACGAAAAACCGGCTTAAATCGGGCAGAATTTCAAGTGGAGAGAGGTTAGCTTCTTGAGAATTTCTGGGCTTCGAGGCTTGCTTAGGGTTTGAAATAGGATATCGGGGCTTTGGGGATTGTTAATATGCTTGTGGGGGTAGAAAGTGTGAAGAAAGATGAATTTTGGGGTGAAATATGTGTGAAATCCGAGAGATCTCGCACCCTTTATATAGGGTGCGAGGGGCGGTCCGAAGGCATCGGACGTGTTGGCTTCTGAGTGGACCGAACCTCGGTCCAATGAGAAGGTGCCACGAGGTCCGAGGGGTGTCTCCTGTGAGGGTGTCAGAAGGTAAGTGGACCGCGGACTTGGTCGAATCAGAAGGCGCCACGCGAGACTTCGGTCCAATCAGAAGATGACACGTAGCGGACACGGGGAAGCCTCGCATGCGAGGTGACGTGGCCGAAGGTCAGCCATGCGAAATTGCCCGGTTTTCAACATTTCTCGATTTTTATGCCAAAAACTTGCGAAAATCATAACTTTCGCATACGAGCTCCGTTTTCGACGTTCTTTATATGCACGCGTAGGTAAAATTATACTCTACGAATTTAGTTTAGACTTCGTTGGCTAATTTTGACTTTATTTTTAATATTATTATTTTTAACAGACAGGGACAGGAAATCCGTTAAAAATTCATAACTTCTTCATCCGACGTCCGTTTTTGTCTGTCTTTTTACCGTTGTACTACTATTGACGAGACCTTCAATTCTCATTTAGGTTGTGTCGGCTAAAAATCACTCGATCAATATTTCGAGTTTTTAGTTGTATATTGCTATACTAAAACTTAGAAAAATCATAACTTCTTCATACGAAGTCAGATTTTGACGTTCTTTTTATGAAAGTTCTCGGTTTAACATAAGCTACGACTTTAATTTAGATTGTTAAGGCTAAAAAGCCTTTTATTGAAAATTCAGTTTTTACACTGAACAGTGTTTTGCCGGTTTTGTCGCGGATCTTCGGTTGGTCATAACTTCTTCGTTATAACTCGGATTTTAGTGTTCTTTATATTTTTGGAAACCCTGTTACAATCTCTACCACTTGGTTCATCCCAATCGAGATTGTTTAATAATTTATTTTTGAGGGTCAATTATGTAAATATACATAGTATGCTAAAATTTCTCTTTATTATTTTAAAAAGAACTACAAATTGACCTACATTATTACATATGTTTGAAATAACGGTTTGTTACATGGGATATTATCAGTTGTTTTGTTGACTTGTGTTTTTGACATATGATACATTGTGGTTTTGAGAACGTGTGACATTGAGTTTTTTTGTGATTTAAAAATGAAAAAAATTTGTTTGATAATTTACGGTGTTACAGTGAGGTAGTTTTGTTGTATTTGGGATTTCGTAGTCTAGGAGTTCCTTAGCGAACATAGATGTCACACTTCGCGATAAACGAACTTGGTTTGGGTTGGAGAAAACGCATTGGTGGTTGAACTGCTGAGCGGTGAGGTATGGTTGCACTAGCATGTTGTTGTACGCTGAAAGGTGCCCTGGAGTTGGGTCGTAAAAGCTTTGCTGCTAAAATGGGAAGGTTAGTGGTTGGGTTGTTAGGAGGGGTGGGTTAGGTGCGAGCAATTTGTTTGACATAAACAAATGATGTTGTGGGATTGTTGTGCTGAAGGGTATGTTTGTCACAAACGACGATGTTTGGAAGACCATCGTTTGTTCTCTCGTCATCTGGTTTAGTGGTGGTGCTTGCGAGATAACCGACACGCCACTGACGTTGACCATCGTTATTGATGCCGTGTTGCTTGATATCGTCGTCACTTGTTGGGTTTGCGCGGAGACATTTTGTGTCAATACAACGGCGGATAACGTTGGTCCTTTAGTGATTGGTCTCCATAATCCGCTCATTGGAGCAATAGTTATTGTTGAGCCGTCTTGTTGTGGTGTTTTACCGGTAACTGGTGTGAAGATGGGAGCAATAATTGGTTCCAACGACATCATAGGCCTGATGGGGCTCGTCGATGTCCTACCAGCTCCACCGGTGTCACCGGATGCCATCTTCAGGTGTTGAGAGCTGTGCTTTTGGTTTGTTGTTCGTCACACTACAGATGACGCCAAATGACGCGACTTGGTCACCGGGCGTTGATATCCGCTGCTTCTGGCTGTTTCGATGAACCTGCAAGGTCACAATAGGGTGGAACCGTCAACCGTTCTCCGGGAGGAGGCTCCCGGGAAAACGCTCCGACGATCAAATCAGTGGATAGACTTGGATATCTTTCTAAGTGAACTGGGAGAGAGCAACTTACTTTCCTAGGTACCGGAGGAGGCGTTTTATACCGAGGCCTTCTGCTAGTCCGTACGGGACAAGGGCGTCAGACCCGACAGGATCGGGCGCGCTGATTGGGTAATTGTGCTCCTTGTTCTGTTAGAGCTAACGATTGGTTCGGGTGATAATGCCCTGAGCATCCTCCCTTGTCGTTTGGAGCCGTTACACTTTGTCACGAAGTAGAAGTCGCCCCTGGTGGGGCCGAGCTTTCTCCGCAGGCGCCTTGCGCTTAGGGGCGTCCACGGGCGCGAGGTTCCGTCGCGCTTGCTCTGTTAGGTGTGATCTGCCTTGGGGAGTTCTCTGACGCGTCTGAGCGCGACTCCTAACTCGTGCCGAGGGCACGTCATCACTATCATTTTTCGTAGCGCCGATATTAGTCACTCTCCAAAATCACTTTGAAATTAAATATTTTTAATGTTATTTGAACAATTTATTTGTATTTGTGAATTGAAAGTGTGTTTTTGTCATACTTTGAAATTTTATTTACGTTTTGAACCAATTCAAGTGGTGTAATATTTAGTTAATTTATTTACTTTTTGATTTTAAATGGGTTAACCTAAGTTTAACCCATTTATTTAATAGATTTGGTAGGAAACTAAATAAACATGTTAACACGTTGACAACCTATTTATCTAAAATGTTGGGTTGGGTTGGGTTGGAAATATCAACCAATTTAAATAAAAAGATTGAGTTGAGTTAAACCTTTAACCCAATTAATAAATATATTAAACCCGAACCCAACATAAAATCGACCCATTGTCAGCTCTAATCGTTATAATAAATTATCAACCATATGATCTCGACTTAAATCAATATTAGAAATTTTCAACCATATTATTCGTTAATATTTAAGATCGATTTCGATAGATTGTTTTATCAAACATAAAATTTTACAATATGATCAAATCATCTTTCTTTATAGTCGTAATTTAAACAGAAATCTATTTTTATAATACGATCATTAAATGAATGCTTTTTTAGGATATATCATCTTCCACACATTTCGATACATTTCGAAATAATAATAAGGAAAAAAGTGTGTAACTTTTGAAATCCGGGCATATAATTCTTTTTTTAGGATAAATCATTTAATTAATTCCCACGCTGGACCCACGACAGCGCCGGTTCACGCGACTACCCAATCCTATTAAGCTTCCACACATTTCCTCAACCATGTCTCCGCCGCTATCACCGCTCTCTGCGACCATCGGACCACCAAACCACGGTGGCCTACACCAACACTTTCAACTCCGTGGTTCATGATTTGTTGTCTATTTGCTGATTTATATAAGTTGAAGCAATAATGGCGGTGACTCGGAGAAGGAAGCAACCAGAAGACGAAGTACAGCAGCCTCCGGATACGAAGCCAGACGAAGACGATGATAAGGAAGAAAAAGCATTAAAAAAGTCAAAGACCAAGAACTATTCGTGCCTCGATAACTGTTGTTGGTTTGTAGGATGCGTATGCACGGCGTGGTGGCTGTTGTTGTTTCTATACAATGCGATGCCTGCCTCTTTCCCGCAGTTTGTGACGGAGGCAATCACCGGACCTATGCCGGATCCTCCCGGTGTTAAATGTTTGAAAGAAGGTTTGAAGGTGAAGCATCCGGTGGTGTTTGTGCCGGGGATTGTAACCGGTGGACTTGAGCTATGGGAGGGGCATCAGTGTATGGATGGTTTGTTCCGAAAGAGGCTTTGGGGTGGGACGTTTGGCGAAGTCTATAAGAGGTATTACCTACCTAACCATCGTTTTTTGTTTCTGCTTCAATGATTTGATTGATCGCTGAAGATCTAATTTCTTCAACGTACGAAATGACCCAAAAAAAAGGAATACAGAGTAAGATTTGACTTCTGATCTATGAATATTCGACGCTTTTGGCCTTTTGGGTTTCAATTGCTTGCAAGACGTATACGCTATCATCATCATCTACATGTTATCTGGCAAATTCTGGCATATTTTACAATTTACACTGTTGGAAATTGAAATTGAAATCAACCTCAATCGATGGAATAGGAATAATCTTTGTTTTTATATGAATGAGTTCTTGTAATGCGTATCTTGCAGACCTTCATGCTGGGTGCAACATATGTCGCTAGACAACAAAACAGGGATGGATCCACCGGGTATACGGGTCAGACCCGTGAGTGGACTTGTAGCTGCTGACTACTTTGCTCCAGGATATTTTGTATGGGCTGTTTTGATAGCTAACTTAGCTCGTGTTGGGTATGAAGAGAAGAATATGTACATGGCTGCATATGACTGGAGGCTCTCATTTCAAAATACAGAGGTATAGATTAGATTTCCTTCATGTGCAATTCCTGTTACCTTTGTCATTGTCGTATAGATTAAGACATGGAATTTTATGATGTTCAGGTAAGAGACCAATCTTTGAGCAGGATAAAGAGCAATATAGAACTGATGGTTGCTACAAATGGTGGCAATAAAGCGGTTGTGATTCCACATTCAATGGGTGTTATTTACTTTTTGCATTTCATGAAATGGGTGGAAGCACCAGCTCCGATGGGTGGTGGTGGTGGACCAGATTGGTGTGCTAAACACATAAAGGCAGTGATGAACATTGGTGGACCTTTCTTAGGTGTCCCAAAAGCTGTAGCCGGCCTTTTTTCTGCTGAAGCCAAAGATATTGCATCTGCCAGGTTTACATAATTTTGACATTATTTCTGATAAAAAAACTGTCAAGATTTACAAGATATAACATTGATGTGTCATGTGTAGGGCACTTGCACCTGGTGTGTTGGACTCGGATTTATTTCAGATTCAAACGTTGCAACATTTGATGAGAATGAGTCGCACGTGGGATTCAACCATGTCCATGATACCGAAAGGTGGGGACACGATTTGGGGTGGCCTTGATTGGTCACCTGAAGAAGGTTATTGTCCGAGTAAGAGAAAGAACGGGAAGAATGTCACCGAAAACGAGTCAACAAATCAAGAATGTGAAGCAACACACGCAAATTATGGAAGGATGGTGTCATTTGGAAGAGATGTAGCGGAGGCACAATCATCTGAGATCGAAAGGATAGAATTTAGGGTAAGGCTATTGATATTTTTCCCAACTATCTCACAAATGACTTCAACTAGCCATCCGTTGGATGACTGGCAGTCATCCGGATGTTCAGGATGACTGCCACTGCCGGATGACTGTATTTTTCATCCGGCAGTTGACATGTTATTATGATCACCAAATCATACACATGTACTGAGGTAATTTTTGGTGTTTAGGGTGCGGTGAAAGGAAACAGTGTCGCAAATCATACTTGTCGGGACGTGTGGACTGAATACCATGACATGGGATTTGGTGGTATTAAGGCTGTTGCTGAGTACAAAGTGTATACAGCTGGTGAGATTGTGGATATGTTGGAATTTGTTGCCCCAAAAATGATGGAACGAGGGAGTGCTCATTTTTCTTTTGGTATTGCTGAGGATTTAGACGACCCCAAATATGAACATTACAAATACTGGTCAAATCCGTTGGAGACCAAGTAAGATTCTTGTAGCTTCCTTTTGTTATCTTGTGAACTCTTTCCTTTCCAAAATAAATGTTTTTCTCTTTTTTTTTTTTGGAAATATTTTGATTCAAAATTACAATTTGTGGTCGTAAGAGGTGTCAAATTGGGTTAATTGGGTAGCAGTACCATCTAAAGACAATAATTTTCATTGCTGTTGATGTTTTCCAAAATAAATGCTTTTCTCCTTTTCTTCGTATCACAACATTGTACTTTGAAAAGTCTACCCATTATAGCAATACCATGTAATGACAATAATTTTTATTGCTATAATTGGGTAGATTATCCAGACTATAATGAAAAAAAACTTGAAAGTACGATGCTAAAATTGGGTAGAATTTTCAAAGTACAATGTCTAAGTAAGAATTTTTTCGAAAGTTGTAATGCAAATAAATCAAAGTATATAGCTATTTCTTGCATTTGGCTCTTTTTAATACGGGTCAAGTTGGTCAAACTGCCAACACATTTTGTTCATTTTTTTAACTAAAATATAATTAGAACATTACATAATTGCAAAAATATTAATATAATCATCAAATCCTTCTTAAGCGGTTTAGGATGTTATGTAACATTTAAATTTACTTCGGCTGACTTTTCACCCGCATCTTCTTTTCTAGCTAAACTTTTTCCTTTTGTCTATTTGACTCACTAAAAGATAGTAAAATATAACCCAAAATCGACCCGTTTATATCATCGAGGTGTTGATTTTTTATAACTAGTTTAAACATCATATAATTAAAATTTATATTATTAACATAATCATATCATTTATTTAAGCGGTTTAGGATGCATGCATACACTTAAATCCACTTTGTCTGACCTCCCACCTCTTTTGTTTTTAGTTTAACTTTTTTGTTTTACCTATATGACCTGTTAAACCATCAAATATAACCCAAATTGACCCATTTTTATTCTAAACGGGTCTAAACTGCTACCTTATATTGCCATTATTTTAAGAATTAGCACTTTAACTTGCATAATTCTTTGATGTTTTCAGGTTACCAAATGCTCCCGACATGGAGATCTATTCGATGTACGGAGTCGGAATCCCAACCGAAAGAGCATATATTTACAAACTCACTCCTGCAGCGGAATGCTACATTCCATTCCGGATTGACGCGTCAGCAAAGGATAAAAACGAGGACTGCTGTTTAAAAGACGGAGTTTATACAGTTGATGGGGATGAAACAGTTCCGGCATTAAGTGCAGGATTCATGTGTGCAAAAGGGTGGCGTGGGAAAACCCGATTCAATCCTTCCGGAATCAAGACACACATTAGGGAATATGATCACAACCCTCCATCTAACTTTCTCGAGGGTCGAGGCACACTGAGTGGGGCCCACGTGGATATCATGGGGAACTTTCAATTGATTGAAGATGTTATAAGGGTTGCGGCAGGGGCCACAGGTGAAGAATTGGGAGGCGATCAGGTGTATACGGGAATATTTGACTGGTCCGAGAAAATCAACTTGAAGTTGTGAAACATTTAAACATTTGCCTATACGAACAATTTATATTAAATTGACATGAAATGTGTAATGTGAGGAATTAGATTGTCCCCATGTACATTAGTAAACTAGAAATTTGTAATTTGGGTGTATTATTTTGTGACATGTTTCCATAAACAGCCATAAATTTGTTTTTTTGATATCCCTGATTTGGTGCTGCATGGTGCACGCAGTTGGTTTCTAGGTGTTATTACTTTAGAAATGGTAACGGTTTGAGTTTTAGCAGTTTCAATTCCATTATGTACTATAATAAACAAGGGGCCATATACCTTAGTTGGTGTGTGCTCTTTCTCCATGATGTCGAATGATGTCGAATGTTAAAGTCCCACTTTTCAATTTTAGAGAGAGAAACAGAATTTGTGTAATGAACTCGATACATTCAACTGAGTAAACATTACAGTGCTTAAGGAATAACAATCTGTACATTTTACACCCTATACTAAACATAAGTTACAAAATGGTCCTCCAAGTATGGTTCCCATAGCTTCTTTGTTGTCTTCTGTGTTTATATTGCAAATATCCTCCCCTCAAGATGAACCTTGGTGATGTATATCATCAGGATTCATCTTGGAAAGAAGAAATTGAAACTGTGGATTGCATAAACCTTTTGTAAACAGATCTGCAAGTTGTCTAGTTGTAGAAATGTGTTGTGGCACTATGAATCCTGATTTGTACTGATCTCTAACAAGATGACAATCTATATCCAAGTGCTTTGTTCTTTCATGGAAGATGGGGTTCTCAGTAATATGAATAGCTGTTTTGTTGTCACACCACAGAGATATTAAAATTTTGAAAGAAACCTTTAAATCCCTTAGTATAAAACTAATCCATAACAACTCACAAACTGTGGCTACTAAACTTCTATACTCAGCTTCACATGATGACCTAGAAACAGTCTTTTGTTTCTTGGTTTTCCATGACACTAAAGATTCACCTAAAAAGATACAATATCCTGTGAGTGATCTTCTAGTATCTTTGCAACTTACCCAATCAGAATCATTATAAGCAGTGATATTCATTGGTGAAGATCCTTTTCCAAAGAATAATCCTTTTGAGGGACAACCTTTTAGGTATTTCAAAACATGTAATGCTGCTTTCCAATGCACATCAGTTGGTGAATGAAGAAATTGGCTTAATTGTTGCACAGCATAACTGATGTCAGGACGTGTGAAATTAAGATATAATAACCTCCCAATTAATCTTCTGTATTTTTCTGGGTCTTGCAAAAATTTTCCTTAATCTGCACACAAACTAACATTCTTCATAACAGGGGTAGGAGCTGGTTTGACACCTGTGAGACCAGCATCTGCCAGTATATCCATGACATATTTTCTCTGATTAACATACAAACATTTATCAGTTTTTAACATTTCAATTCCCAAGAAATAACTTGCTTCTCCCAAATCTTTGATTGTAAAAGCATCATGTAATTGTTCTTTCACTTGTTTAATCAATGCTTCATTTGGTCCTGTAATTAAAACATCATCTACATACACCACCAAAGCCATGAAATCAGACCCTTCTCCTTTGACAAATAGACAATGATCATATGTTGATTGCTTAAAACCAAAGCTCAAAATTTTGTTACAAAACTCAATGTGCCACTGCCTGCTTGCTTGTTTTAAACCATATAATGACTTATTCAGTTTGCAAACTTCACCTTCTTTTGCTTTATGGTAACCTTGTGGTGGGATTAAGTAAACTCCTTATTCCAAATAACCATGTAAAAATGCGTTGTTGATATCAAGTTGATGAAGAAACCAATTACTTGAAGCTGACAAAGAGAGTAATATCCTAACAGTGACCACCTTTGCAACTGGTGAAAAACTGTTAAGATAATCTATACCATAAGTCTGATTATATCCTTTTGCAACTAAACGTGCCTTGAATCTCTCAATTGTGCCATCATATTTCAACTTGACTTTATACACCCATTTTGAACCTATTGGTTTCTTATTTTGTGGCAGGGGCATAATGGTCTAGGTGTTATTATCTTCCAAAGCTTGTAGTTCTTTATTCATAGCAGCAATCCAGTCAATATCTTGACAAGCTTGTTCATAGGATGTTGGTTCATTGAGTTTGGAAACAGATGTCAAAAAACATTTGTGTTCTTCTGTAAGAACAGAAGATTCAAGATAAGGATATGTAGGAGGACAATGTGGTGATTTAAGGATTTTTGAAGGTTTTAAAGTAGAAAAATTATCATCACTGGAAGTGTGATTGCAATGCATCACATAATCACTGAACCAAGCAGGAGGTTTTGTATGTCTAGTGCTTGCTCTTATATTTGGGTAAGCAGGGGCATTTTGGTCATTTTGAGGTTCAACAGGTGAACCGGGTGAATTTGATGAACTATTAGTTTCTGAATGGCCTTGGTATTCTTGTTCTATTTCTAGATCTATATCATCTGAGTTGTAACTCTCAGATGGTATAAAATCGTCCGGATTAACTTGAAATTCATTGGTAATAGGTTCAGTAGAAACATTTGGTATTGATTCATTTTGAGGGTTTGGCATTGGAATGGAATTTGTTGTGGGAACTTGTTTTTGGAATGGAAATACAGATTCATAAAAGACCACATCTCTTGAAATTATGACCTTTTTGTCCTCCAGATCATACAGTTTATATGCTTTCTGCCCCGGATTATAACCTATAAAGCAACACATGATGGCTCTTGGTGCAAATTTGTTTTTATGTGGTATAACATTTGTAGCAAAACATAAACATCCAAATATCTTCAAGTTAGAATAAGAAGGCTCCTTTTTATGAAGACAATAGAATGGTGTTTTCCATTCTAAAATAGGAGTTGGTAGAACATTAATGATGTAGGTTGCCATCAGAATTGCATGTCCCCAAAACATAATAGGCAATTTTGACTGAGACATCAATGCCCTTGCAATCTGTAATAGTTGCTGATGCTTTCTTTCGACCCTTCCATTTTGTTGTGGTGAATAAGAAACTGTTTTCTGAATAACTCCCAATTTTGAGAAAAGATTTAAACAATTTTGGTTGACAAACTCACTTCCATTATCAGTTCTTATTACCTTTACAGTTGTCTTGAACTGATTAGTAACATAGGCAAAGAAATGAGATAATGTTTGAAACACTTGAGTTTTATCATTCAACAAGAATGTCCAAACAGACCTTGAATGATCATCCACAATAGTTAAAAAATAAGAAGCACCTGACACAGTTTTTGATCTATATGGACCCCATAGATCAACATGGACTATATCAAAAATCTCATTAGCATGAGATTCATTGTTTGGAAATGGAAGTCTCTTCTGTTTTGCCATGTGACAAGGAACACATGGAGTTAATTCATTTTCATGTTTTGATGGAATAAACTTTAAATGCTGTAACACAAATTGTGAAGAATGCCCAAGTCTCTTATGCCAGATTGAAAAAGAGTCCTTATTTATGCTATCATCAACATTACATGAATGTGTAGCATTACAAGATTTATCATGAACAACTGTATGAACATTTCTGGCTCTATCTATAAGACTCATCAAACAATTACTATCAAGAATATAAAGTTTTCCTGCAACTTTTCCTTCAGCCACCACTTCCTTTGTCTCAAGATCCTGCAAAACACAATGTGTTGAGTAAAACTTAAACACAATGCGTGTAGTTAATGCCAGACATCTCACAGAGAGAAGATTGCATTTGAAATCAGGTACATGAAGAACATTGTCCAAAACCAACTTAGGACTTAATTTTATGACACCTGTATGAGTAACAGACTTGATTGACCCATCAGGTAGGAATATAGGTGTGTAACTAGTTACTTGAGTTGATCTTGTCATAGAGGATAAATGCGAACACATGTGAGCAGTTGCTCCAGTATCTAAGATCCATACATTCTTATCAAACTTATCACTCTTTAATGAATTCAATAAAGAGATATTCATACCTGCAAAATCTCCAAAGTGAGAGAAATTTGCAAAGTGAGAATCCATCTTCTGATTTTGATTTGCCTTCATGAATTGACAGAATTGTTGGAAAAGAGCATTCATAGAATCTACATTGTCTTGTGTGGAATCATTGTTGTCAAATAGAGGATTATTATCATGTTGATTAGTATTTGCCATATGAGCAGCATTGATGTTTCCCTTTTTCTTCTCTTTCAAATCCTTATACCAATCCGGATAACCATTCAGTTTGAAGCATGTATCTCTTGTGTGTCCATTTACTTTGCAAAAATTACAGTATCTATCATTATTGTTCTTGTTCTTGGAATCAACTTTGGGTTTATAAGAGAATTGCCTTTTATCACCATTATTTTGTGCAGAAGATTTAACAAACACAACAGATTCTGTCGGAATAGAGAAATTAATCTGGACTTCTTTCTGTTTTCAACACTCAAGGCCATGGAGTAAGCCTTGTGCACAGAAGGTAAAGGATCAAGGACCAAAATCTGGTTTCTCAGATTTTCAAAATTATCATTTAGTTCCATAAGGAACTGCATAAGTCGAGTAGAAGCAGTAAAATCTGATATGGCTTTTGCAGATCCACAATTGCACATAGGCAACTGCATAAGACAACTCAACTGATTTCATAATTGTTTGAGTTTGGTATAGTATTTAGAAACAGAGGAATCACCTTGGTTAATTGAGGCGATTTGTCTTTGAAGCTGATAGATGAGGGGTCCATTGTTTTCTGAGAAATGTTCTTCAAGCTCGTTCCAGAGTTCACGAGCGGTAGTAGCAAAAATAAAGGCTCCAACGATTTCTTTAGAAATCGCAATTAGAAGCCACGATCGAACCATACAATCATTGTTGGTCCAGTCATCAAGATCGCTACCTTCAACCTCTGGTTTCTTCGAGGTTCCGTCAATAAATCCGAGTTTCTTCTTTGCTCCTAAAGCAATTTGAATTGAATACTTCCATTGCATATAATTTTCGCTTCTAGTAAGATGCGAAGATACCAGAAACATGTTTGGATCATTGTTTTTAGGGTTAGGTGCGAAATTTGGTGTAGAATTAGGTGTAAAATTGATCGAAGAAGACGAATTATCGCCCGGAATAGAATCCATTATTTCACAAAAAACGGATCTAAAGCTCTGATACCATTTCAATTTTAGAGAGAGAAACAGAATTTGTGTAATGAACTCGATACATTCAACTGAGTAAACATTACATTGCTTATACAAAAAAAAGGAATAACAATCTGTACATTTTACCCCTATACTAAACATAAGTTACAGAATGGTCCTCCAAGTATGGTTCCCATAACTTCTTTGTTGTCTTCTGTGTTTATATTGGAAATAAAAAATAAAAAAATAAAAAAATAAACCCTCAAATGATTTTGATACATATATAGAGTAGGTTTATATTTGCCTTTCAAAAAAATAAAAAAAACATAAACGGATATCTATAGAATTTCAGATCCGGAATGTTCTTTTCGTATAAAATACTGAAATTCATAAATAAACAAAATAATGATTGTGACAACCCGAAATTTCTATCTTGTACAAACCATTCACTTCAATCAAAGTCAGACTTGTTACTGCTAACTTTTAGCACTGTATAGAGTCTGTTTGAGCATTCTAAGCTTAGTACATCAAAGGATCAAGTGTTAGAGTGGGTCAACTAAGGTTCCAAACCATCAATCAAGCCATAAACCCTCAAATGAGGAGTTTACGGCCAGGACCCATGAGTTTACGGCCGTAAACTCATGATGGCCGTAAACTCCAGCCTATAAGTATGATGCTTGGTCCATTTTCTACACCCTTTCCATTTCTAAGGCTTGGAACTCGAAAACTCTCTCAAGTATCATAGGATTTTGCTTTAAAAAAACCCTCAAATGTAAGTAAATCCTTCCATCTAAGTGTTAATACTTCTCTTATCCATGAATCACCATTGATTTCTTCCATGGATTTCATCTTTGAGTCCAGATCTTCCAAGATTCTCAAGAACATCAAGAACACTTAGGTGTTTTGGGCCGAAAACACTCTCCTTTGCCTTCAAATCGTAAGTATGACCTCCCTATACTTGATATCTAGTAAGAACTCATGCTTAGCACCTTGGAAATCATCCTTTATCCATGATCAAAGTGAGTTTACGGCCAAGAGTATCTCCCTTGGCCGTAAACCCTTATTAAAGGTGCAAATGTGGTCATAACTCTTCCTAAGGCTTGGACTTAAGGCTAGAACACTTCCTTGTGGATTATAAGACCTTAGAACACCTTTTTGGGCACAAACCATCATGAGTTTACGACCATAAACTTATGAGGCCGTGAACTCATGGTCGTAAACTCTTGTGGCCGTGAAATCATGGCCGTAAACTCCTGAGGCCGTGAACTCATGGCCGTAAACTCTTGTGGCCGTAAACACATGGCCGTAAACACAATGGTGTGGCCTTAAAATCCTTAGATGCAATCCTTTGTGGTTATAACACTTCTATATGAGTGTTTTCTAGTCCCTAAGGTGTTTCACTCACATGATTAGTTGTATAAACACTAATTATATTCACATATGTGTCCTTATATGCTTATTAGGATCCGTGTGTGTGCTCAAGTCTCCACTTGACATCTAGCATCCTATACCACTCATTCATCCAAGCTACTCACTGCAGGTGAGTTCATACCCCTACACTTTTACTGGTTTTAAAACGTTTTCAGGGGGAATACAAGCTAAACCATAAATGATTTTGTAAATTAATACAAAGAGCTTTTAACAAGTATAAAACTCATGCAATTCTCATACTTTAACCCTTTTGTACTGTGTTGAGCATAAGGGACGTTTTCACTAAAATTGCATAGTTTTCCGGACATGATATTCACTACACCATACATGCAAACTATAATCGGTATAGTTTGGGATTTTCTAAACATAACAAGTACAGAAACTTTCACTACTAAACATATGCACTAAGACATAAATATTTTACAGTTACATCACTACATTATCATGGTATGCATAACTGAAATTATCACTACATACGGTATACATACGAATTTTCACTACGGTAAAACGCTACAACACTACCTGTAAACTAGATTGTGCGATACTGTGAGGCACTACTTCAACACTGTACCCTTAGGTGTACAGGGATAGATCCTATCATAGTATAACCAGAGTCTCCTGGAGGGAGAGCGTGAGATTTGTGAATAGATCTATTCGGGACTGACAATCCCACACCCGAACTGCTAGCTACAGTTAGGCAGGCATGCCTGGGGTGACAAATGTCATTTAACTCAACGCCTGAAGAACGTTGGAAAGGTCTCTAGTCATATCAAGTATGGTTATACGACTCACAATATGTATAAATCACCTTTAGTTTACAAATTGGCACTCTTCAACAGTTTTATTTATACTAAATAGAACTAATACGCACTACAACGGGAGAACCTCCAGGGTTTTCAAACAGAACTGAACATACAATGGTTTCACGTATGAAATACTTATACATCATGATTAGCATTAACTAGTCACATGATGTATTATTTTCGCACATCACCACAGTTTTCAGTAACAAACACTCATGGTTTTATACAGAATTGAAAACACTACTTTCTCACTAAAGAAAATATCGTATTTTCTTGAAACTATACAAACACTTTTACAAGCTCATCAACAAGTTTTCATTACAAGTTACCACTTATGAACTCACCAGCTTTATGCTGATATTTTTCAAACCGCTTGTATTCTCAGGAAATCAGTAGACAGGTTCCTGCTGGATTTTTGAGGAGTTGGAGCAATAAGAGTTTCATGATTATATTTTACATACTATTTGATGTAAATCAAACAAGTTTCAGACAAGTTTCCAAATTGATGTAAACATTTTTATTTAAGTATTCACTGTAATGGTTGTGTTGCTATGATTGTTATTATTCATTGGTTGTGATGCTATACATGACGTCCTCCACCCCAGAACGTTTCCGCCATTCCGGTTTTAGGGTGTGACAATGATTTTTTTTTTTTTTTTGTAATTCTAAAAGGAGAATTATAAATCTAGCTCTTTTCCTTAATCATTTTGCAAAAAGTAGCAAAAAATAGTCACCGAAATGGCATACGAGGTTAACCCGCCTGCTGTTTCGTGCATCGTCTGCTGTTTTGGTAGTTATTTTACTGGGCTTGCTTGATGTTTTATAAAATGGGATGTTGTTTCGCAACCCATCAACCAATAATATATAAAAGTTCAAAAAATCATTTTTAGGTAATTTTCGGGTATTTGAAGTACACAATTTTCTCTTATGGAGGCTCCTAAAAACAATTTGTTTAATAGTATTATACATAGTTTTATTTTTCTTGTTATATATCATTTAACGTGAAATCTAGTAGTTGCGAGTTTGTTTTTCCAGAAAAAATAAAAAAAAGAACATAACCATAGATGACAATGCCATCTGCGGTGTACAAGTCGTTGATGCACAAATATGCATTAAAAACTTGTACACCGCAGATGGCATGTCATCTGCGGTTTTGTTCCTTTTTTTTTTATGATTCTTCCGGTTTAAACATTGTTATGTGTTATGCCTTGATTATGTTTTGTCAGAAAGGTACGAAACCGTAATCAACATCTAATAATAATAATAATAATAATAATAATAATAATAAATCAAAACAGTAGATGATGAGACGAAGTAGCAGATGACATATGCCCATCTGAAAGAACCAACAAAATAACAGTTGAGATGAGAGGAAGTAGCAGATGATATATGTCCATCTAAAAGAACAAATAACAATTGAGATGAGAGGAAACCACAGAAGACCTAAGCAATTTGCGGTTTGTGGGTTTTTATAGACTAAGACGAAACAATAAATGAGGCACGAAACAACATGCAAGTTAAACTCATCTGCGGTTTCAATGGTTATTTTTGTCTGATGACTAATTTTTAATTATTTTTTGAAAAACAATTAACGAAAAGAAAAACTAGATTTGTAATTTTCTCTCCTCAAAAATAAATTTTCTATTTAGCAATGAAGGTAGAAAATAGAGTAAATTGTACGAATGGTCCTTATGGTTTAGGGTAATTTGTGCGTTTGGTCCATAACTATTTTTTTTAACACGGACGGTCCCTAGTATGCATTTTTGTTGCACGTTGGATCCCTCGCACACATAAAAAGACTAGATTACCCTTCTTTATTTATTTTTAATTTATTTATTGTTTATTTGTTATTTTTTATTAGAAATTAGTTTAATTAATAAGGTAGGATCCACCTTACACCATTACCTCATCTACCATCATCGTATTCTTCATCAGGTTGCCAAGCTCACCCTCTCAACTATCTTTAACCTTCAACAAACTTCATAACTACGACCTTCACGTACTACCACCCCATCCCCTTCATCTAAAGACAATCATAAATCTCCTCAGATTTACAACCATTAATCTAGTTTCACCACAACTAACAAGTTACAACCATAAGTCTAGGTAAATCGGAGTAAATGCTAGACAAAACTTTCAAACCACAATCAACTTCACTAACAGGTAGATTGGAGCAAATAGTACCCAAAGCCTATAAGGATATCTCAATCCAAAACCATGATTAATCTTACCAAGCTTCCCTGGAGATTCAAGCACGATTTGACACTAAACAATCCAAGTTATTTTGGTGATATATTTCTGAAGTTTCGAGAGGATGTGGATGAGTATCTCGTTATAAATTAGAGGAGTAAAATCACATAATACAATAATTTGGGGGAAATCAAAAAGGATGATTTTGTTGTGGTTCTTGGTAAATTGTAGAGGAGAAGAAGCAACAACGATATCGTCAGGGTGCGGTGGCGAAGAGGCAGTGTCGGGGGTGATTACGTAATCGAGATGGTGAGGTTTCCAAAGAGTTTTACCGATAACGATTTCTTCTAAATCTGTACCTAGATCTGGAAGGTTTGTTGCCTCTGGCAACACATACTGAGAAAGTGGGTTCTCCGGCTACTCGAGCAATCAGTTCTCCGGTGAAACTTCTGGCAGATATGAGACAGAGGTGCGTCAGAGATAGAAGTGGATAAGTGGTCCAGTGGTCGACGATGTTTCAATTGCATCTTTTACCGACTGTTCACTGGTCGCCATCCATGATAGTTTTCGGCTGAAATTCACACTTCATACGCAGATGATAGAGAGTGAGGGACAGAGATAAATAAAGAAATAAAGTTCCAGTTTCAAGATGCATGGAGAGGGGGGAGGGGGTGGGGAGCCTAATACATTTATTTTAAGTACTAGTTTATAATCTGTGGGAACCACGATTACAAAATTAATTAAACTTTCATACTAAAAACTCAAAATTATTAATCAATTAGTTTTAATAAGTTATTAATTAAGAGATATTTTTTTGTTATATAAAATTATAATCGTTGATTTAAATAAATACGTGAAATTATATCACCTTATAATTTGTATTAATTGTATTTAAAATTTTGTTTTAATGTTATTAATTTAATGTAATTAGAGTGAAAAATTTAAAATTTGAAATTTGAAATGGAGAATCAATAGGTTGACAAGTGACATGACATTAATTAGGATGTCTAATAGGGTGACACATGACAAAAATATAATAAACTTATTCTTTTATTAGAATAGAAACATTTATTAATATAAACATAAATAGAAACAACTAAGAGAAAAAAAAAGAAAAAATAATAGTTAAAGGGCAATATAGTCTTTTTGGGTATGGAATGGACCAAACGCCCAATAAAAAATAGGTTCTAAGGACCGTCCGAGTTAAAAAAAAAAAGTTAGAAATAAAACGTACAAATTACACCAAACCAGAGGGGCCATTCGTGTAATTTACTCTAAAAAATACGATACATTGAAGAAGAAGTACCACGCGCCTTCAGCGAGAGTGAGCGTGTGGGTAATTGGGTATGATGAAATAGAGGTAAACGAAAACCTAACCTAAAGCCTTTGGTGGGTAAATTTGGGGGAAAAAATGATCACACGCTACTTCTATTCGCTGAAGTTTCATTCTGTTATTTTCAAATTTCCACCGAGAAATCAGTCCACAAAAGAGAGAATCGTTCGTTGATTTTAACCATTGCCGGTGCTCTCGATCTCCCATCACGACGACCAAGATCCTCCTCTTTCAACGCACTTTCTTCTTTTGATCAACTTTCTACTTCCTTGCCTCACAGATCTTTCCGGTAAGCCTTATTCCCATTTCCCACCCCCTCTCCTGCTCTACGCGTACGTGTGCATATATCTCTGTATATTCATGTACACTGTCATGCATATATATTAGATGAATCGTTTGGATCAATGATTTTTCTTATAGTGGATTGCGTGTGGATATGTACTTTAAGTCTGTAAAATTGCGTGGATCGGTTACATGCAGCTTAGATGCCGCAAATTCGATGCGGGGTTTTGCGTTTTTACACGCGTTACATCTGCTGGCTCTATTTCATGATTCTACCAGAATTCAAACGCTTGCTGTAACTAGTTATTAGGGTTTTTTCTTACATCTCTCATCGAATGGGTTATTCAAGATTTGAAAACCCAAGAAGAAGATCATGGGAGTTCTAGGGTTCTAAAATAGGGGATTAGAAATAAGTTATGTGCCCCAAGTTATTGTATGATCAACTTGCCTTTGAAGCAGACTACCTGCATCTCTAGTTGTCTACAATAAGTGCGGAATGACAAGAAGCTTGGAAAGATGGCCAAGTTTCTATCCTTATCTAAAAACGATGCTCACACTAATCCACTTAGTTCTTTAAGATAGAAACCCCAAGAAGAAAATAAATGGAAGTTGCTATTGTTGTTAAAAAGGTAATTTTGTATTATTGCGGGATTTAGAAGTAAGTTATGCAACTTCATGATGCTTGTGGAACTTGAATGGTGCTTTGCGAGTTTGTTATCATTGTAGGATTAAGAGGATTGTTTAGCAAATATTGATATGTTTTCCTTCACAAACCCAACCCTGAATTGTATCGCTCCATTTTGAAAATAAATTAGCTAAACGACTTTGACATATGGTCCATGGTGAGTGAACTAGTTATGGTGTTATTGCACTTGTATGCTGCAAAATGAATATCCTTTATCTTAATTATTTATATATGACTATTTAATCACCAACATAGTATGCAACAACTTTACACATTTTGGTTTTAGTGTCTCACATGAAATATCACTTGTGATTTCTCATGTCGCTTCTCATTTTGCTTAACAAATTCCTGGAGTTTGAAAGATCAAACATATTTAGGTAAGTCATAAGTGTGAAGGATGTTGAGTTACTTAGAGATAAACTTTGAACAAAGAGTTTCTTTAAATATTACTGGGTAAATGCAGTGATAAACCGTTGAGCATAGTGAGGTGGTCAAGATATCTTCTGATGCTTTATCTCCTTAACAGGAGTTAAGCCATTAAGCCAATGTTTCAGTCTCAATATAAGCAGTTCAGTTACAACATATGATTGTTTTTGTACTTTTAAACATATTAGAATTAAGATTCTGATACAGTTACATTTTTGAATTATTAGTTTCATTGCTTTTAAGCAGCCTAAGTGAAGAATTTTTGAATTCTTGTAAAACGCGGGTTAAGTTGTTACTGAAACTCTATTTGGAACGGTTGGTGACTTGGTGTTTGTGTGAAAAGTGCAAATCCAGGCCTTTAATAAAGGATAATTTTGTCAAAGCAAGTGTATAATATTGAACAAAATGTAATCTACCAAAGGTACCCTTTAAATGTACCTAAAAAGACATAATGCCCATGGGAGTTGGAAGTTCCAGAGGATAGATTTTAGAGAAGATAAAGGATCGGGAAACAACTAAGGGACTAGATTTTAAGAGATTCAAACCAAAGAAACACTAGGATCTCTTGAATTACATCGTTAGTTGGAACAAGCTCTTGGATCATCCTTTTGAAGAAGGTTTGAAAGGAAAATATGGACCTTGTACTAAAATTACTTGACAACAGGTTCTAAAAACTTTGGAGATGCAGAAAATACCTTAACTTTTAGAAAAAAAAAATCAGGTGCAGATCTTTGTGACTTGAGAACGATATTTCTTGTTGGTGGCTGTGATTTAGTTTTACTTTTACTAGGGAAGTAGATTAGGTTTATGATCTGGGATTGATGATGATGAAAAGTTAGGTTTTTATGTTGGGTGGCCATTGATGATCTGATTATTTGGCTAGGGTTTTTTTCTTCATGATGTCTTCCATGGCCAAACCAGCGAGTCTTTCTTGTTAATTTCTGATTTAGGGTTTTACAATTACGATGAGATGTATATAAGCTAAGAATGGGCCCAACATTTTCTATCTTGGAATCTGGCTTAAGGTTTTGCAAGTGTCATGACATATGAACAGGTAATTACATTAATTGAGTATTCAGATGAATATAATTGAAAAAACGAGGGATAGATCTATCTATCACCGACTGTTCAAAATGAGGCATGGCTTTCTCTTTGCTTAAATTGCACAGTGAGCAACAATTTGGGATCCTTTTACGAATATAAAACTACAAGTTGTTTAGAACAATAGAAAATATAGACCCTTAACTTTTATGATGGATTCTGATTTTCCTGGAACCTATATACTTTTTTTTTTGTGCCCGTAATGGTAGGTGTGGCGAATCTACATATATTAAATATATCCCATAGCTAAGGATCTCTATCTAATTATATAGCTTTTAGCACAAATTCCAAGAAAGCTGAAACTGAGATGTCAGAGTCTATGGTCTTGTTGTACATGTAATTCTGCATGCTATAACAGACATCAAGCACAAGTTTATCATCAAGGTTTTCGATCTCTTATTATGTATGGATAACAGTCACTTAGATTCTAGTTAGCTTTGGTTACAAAACAAACATGGTCTTCCTAGCAGATCTTTATGCCTTTTTTGTGCAGACTTGATTAAGATCCCTATAGAAGGCAATGCATAGTGTGACTATTATCATGGAACATATACCATGAGTCTCCAGCCTTATTAAAGAATTTGATAACATGAACCCTAACCTCAACATGTTGTACAGCCCAGATCTTTTCAAGAATGAACCCGCAACAAGTTGCACAGCCCAGATCATCTGCAAATGGATTTACTCGTAGAAGAGGTGAAAAAGAAACAGGGACTAGAGTGGACAATAAATCTCAGCCTGGAAAATCAAACTTCAACAGAATGACAACTTCAGGTTTAACTTTCTTTCCTAATAATTAATTGTCTTACAAATTTCATGTTGTCCATCTAACTTGAGTTTTGTCATGTTAACAAAACAAAGGTGGAGTTGAAAGCCCATCACGGGATCGCCTAGTTTATATAACAACATGCCTTATTGGGCATCAGGTGGAAGTCCAGGTCATTGATGGATCCATGTTCTCTGGAATCTTTCACGCAACAAATGCCGAAAAAGATTTTGGTACCTTGTATAGTATTTTTATTTTTGTTGGATGGTTGATGCATCCTTATCTTGTGCATCTGATGATATGCCTTTTTGATTGGTATTTGGCAGGAATAATCTTGAAAATGGCCCGTGTAACAAAGGCTGGTTCATCTCGAGGACAGAAAAACATTTCAGATTCTGTTCAAAAGCCCCCATCTAAAACCTTAATAATACCTGCTAAAGAACTTGTGCAGATTGTCGCGAAGGTCTGTAATAGTATCTAGTTTTTGTTTCTTGTAAATCCTTCATCTTAATTGTGTTGTTGTATTTGTATCCATTGGTAGATCGGTAGGTGTTAGGGTTGTTGGTTATATGTACTGATGAAGTGTTTGTATTGGGCAGAGTGTATCTGTAAGTAGAGATGGGTTGATGAATGAGGAAATGCAGGACATTATGATAGATTCCTCTATTTCTCAATCCCGACATGTTGACTTGGAAAGAGAGTTGGCACCTTGGGTCCCTGATGATGATAATCCAGAATGCCCTGAATTGGACAATACATTTGATCGCCATTGGAACAGGTTCCAACTTCTTTATCTCCTGGTCTACTTTTATTGGGTGAATTTTAGAACTAGCCAAGCAATCAAGCATTTTTTTTTTTTTTTTTTTTTTGTTTTTGTTTTTGTTTTTGTTTGTAGGGGCTGGGATCAATTTGAAGCAAATGCAGCGTTATTTGGAGTAAAGAGTACCTTTAATGAGGAGCTGTACACAACAAAGCTTGATAGAGGTCCTCAAATGAGAGAATTAGAAAGGGAAGCATTAAGAATTGCCAGGGAAATTGAGGGTGAGGACACCCATGATCTTCATCTAGCCGAGGTATGTATCGTTTTTATGTCATTTACTATTTTTGTATGTAAATTCTTTCTTACTTGCTGTTTTTATTTTTAAATTAGGAAAGAGGCATTCATTTCCATGATAAGTTTGATCTGGATGAAGAAACTAAATATTCATCGGTTTTCCGTGGGGGGGTTGATGATAGTGGTTATGATGAAAGTGAGGACGTTTTTGATTCACAAAATAGTGAAACCTTTGGAGATGTTGTGAATGAAAATGAGTTGTATCCATCTGGTCCTCTGGATGTAGAGATCAGGTATGCAAAAAATTGTGTCATTATATTTTTCTATGTATGTACATTGGATTTGTTTGTCACTAAGTTTTGTTGTTGTTGTTGTTTCAGGATTGAAGATAATCAGACTAATCAACAACATCCGGATACAGAGAAGCACATGGTAGATTTAGTATTTCACCACTTAACTTATTCTTAGATTGCAGATTGCTATTTGCTGTTGTTTTCTTGTAAGTAATACATTGGTGTTTAACTAATAATGCAGTTGTATGAGCAAAGGCAAAGCCATGGTTCAAAATCTGAGGGTTAGTCTTTTGCTGATACTAAATAAATATGTGAAGTGACTTTAGTATCCTAATAACTGATGTCATGGTCTTCATACTAGACCCTTAAGTTTTACCTTTTCTAATAATCTACTATAATAAATGAAGATCAATTTGCCACATGTCAATCTCTCATAAGTTTTGACACTTGTCATTTTGTGATATTTTTAAAATAAAATAAAATCCACATGTCAATTTCTAGATTTTTCAATTTTTAAAATTAAAGTCACATAATACTTATGTATATATATATGTAAAGTATTAAATGTAATAGATGTCATAATAAATTGCAATTAATATGTTTTTCATTCCTTATTTTAAAATTTTATTTTAAAAAATATTTATTGTTTACATTTTGATATTTAATCTTTTTTTTAATCAACCCGTGTATTACACGGGGTAAATTAATAATTATGTTTCTTCCCTGGAACAGAGTCAAATAAAGAAAAAGAAAGTGAAAGTGGTGATAAAGGACTGAATGTGACTGCAACTGCATATGCCCCTCCATCTATATCTAACTCTAAGTCTAAAGGTCAGGAGGAAAAGACAACAACTTCAACTTCTACTTGTAGTCAAGTATCAGAGGGTGTGAAGACACCACAACCTGGAGTTGGAGTCTCCCGTGCACGCCCTCCTAGTAGTTCTGCTTCTTCAGAATCTGGAAATGCTTCTCCTGCTCCTGCCCCTGGACCTGGATTATCACCAACCTCATCAATGGCCTCTCTCACCTCTGAGAAATCAACATTGAACCCTCATGCAAAGGTTCATATTCATTTACTTGTTTCTTTTCAATATATCTACCCTACACTGTTGTACCAATTATAGCAATGTCATCCAAGTATGGCTATGATTGCAGATTTTTCAAAGTATAATGTCCTAAATAGAAAAAAAAAAATTGAAAGTAAAATGTTATAATGAGTAGATTTATCAAAGCACAATGCTGTAATAGAAAAGAAACGAAAGTGGATGGTGTCATATATTGTGAAAGCACATTGTTATAATTGCGTAGATTTTTAAAAGTACAATTTTTCTCAAGGGAGGTGAAGGTGATATTTCCACTTATGTTTTTGATCCATCCACTTAAAAAAGAAGGTGTTTTGACTTTTATACCCCTCTCTCTCTCTCTCTCTCTCTCTCTCTCTCTTCTATTACAATGAGGGGTATAAAAGTCAAAACACCTTGTTTTTTTTAAGTGGATGGATCAAAAACATAAGTGGAAATATCACCTCCACAATGCCTTCCTTAATAAGAAGAAAAATTGGAAGTATAGTGATATGTAATGGGAATAAATAACATACAAATAAATGATTCCAGGAATTTAGACTGAACCCAAATGCCAAGAGCTTTGTTCCATCAGCAGCAGCAGCGCCTGTAAGTGCGGCATCTCCTCCGGTGTCTGATGGGTCCTTCTACTACCCTCCACATATGCATGGCATGCCACTTGGCATTGGTGTAAGTTGTAATTAACTAATTATAATTATAATTTTATTTTTTATTTTTATGGGTGTTAATTTTGTGTAATAACTTACTATTGTAGATGGGAATGGGACCCGCATTTCCGGCCCATCAGCCTGTTATATTTGGTCCACAGGGAACACCTTTGCAATCCCCACAGACCTATTTTCACTCAAATGCTCCACAGGTATGTTCACTCTTTCTTTTTAGACAAAATTGCAAGAATGGTCCCTGTGGTATGTCAAAACTAGCAAGTTTGGACTCGCAAGAGTGGTCCAAAAGTTTCATTTTGTTGCGAGTTTGGTCCATTTTGTTTTGATTTTTTATAAAATGACGATTTTGCCCTTGGTATTTTCTTTTTTCAGTTTTTTTATTACAAAAATCTAAAAAAGAAAATACTCTCTCTCTCTCTCTCCAAAAAAACCCATTCATATTCTGAAAAAGAAAATACAAATGGAGGCTTCAGGCGACTGTATCTTCCAGAGGAGAGGGTTCCGGCGGATCTAAAGGAGTGCGAAGACTGGAGGCGGCCACCACCTTTTCGTTGGAGCACCACCACCTAAACTGTACAAGAAAGACAAAACCGTTGATCTTCCGAAGAGTCTTTCCTGATCTAAACCATCGATGTGAACTCCGGCGAGTCTTTCCAAATCCAAATCACCAACGACGACAAAGATCTGAACATCCGACGCTGGATCTGCAATGTCGCAGGTGTCCAGCTCCGCCGTCGAATCAGTCTTTGTTAGCGCCACCGTCGTCTTGTCAGAGAAGTAGAGAGACAAAGCCGACGTCACCGCCTCTCATTCCCCGACGATCCTAGCGTCATCGATCTTGTATCTCAGTGTTTTTCCGGCAAAAACCACAGATCTAGGAAATCTCGAACCTGAAAAGATTTTCCGACGAAAACAAACAAACCCCTTACGTCGTAGACGGTGGACAGAAAGAGAAACGGATTAGAGGAAAAATGGCCGTTGTAGCGATGCTTTCCGGCTGGTGGCGGTGGTATCCCGTTGCTGGTAGTGGTTTCCGGTAGCCGACAGTGGCCTATGGCGGATGGCGGCTGTTTCTGGTGACACATGGAGAGACAGACAGAGAGAGAGAGAGAGTTGGTATTATGTATGTTAAAGAGATAGTGGGTGGATGTGATTATAGGGGTGAGTTTTATTTTTATTTTTATTTTCTTGTTCTTTTTAATCTGAAAATGAATAAGAAAAAAGAGAAAATGAGGGGCAAAATCGTCATTATAAAAAGTTTCCAAAATTTTGGACCAAACTCGCAACAAAATGAAACTTTTGGACCACCCTTGCGAGTCCAAAGTTGTTTGGACCAAACTTGCTAGTTTTGACATGGACCAAACTTGCTAGTTTTGACATACCATAGGGACCATTCTTGCAATTTTGTCTTCTTTTTATTAATTTGAGTAAATTACTGAAATCGTCCCTGTGGTTTGGTTAAAATTACGTGTTTCGTCCCTAACTTTTGTTTTGCACTCGGACCGTCCTTGTAGTTTGATTTTATTGCGTTTTTAGTCCCTATCAGACATGAATTGACTATAATACCCTTATGAATTTTTTTTTAAATTATTTTATTATTCTTATTATTATTTATAAATAAGAAAGAAAAAGGAAAAAAAGTGTGGCCCACCCTTATCCCTCTCTCCCTCTTCTACCCTAAATCACTACATCATAAAAGTTCACCAGCCCCTCTTACCTCCTACCACCTCTTACCTCCTACCACAACCTACGACTTGGTTGTTTCTCCATCGATTTTACTCCATCGCCGCCAGAAACCTCCCTATCTCTTCATCTTCTCCGGCTCTGCTCCACCTTTACCTCACCACCCCACTTTCATCTAGAAATTAGAAAATGGGTCGTACCCCCACCTAACTTCTTCAACTCTTATAAACCTCTATTTCTCTCTAATCTTAGTTGAGCACGTGAAAACCATAGCTAAATGGAGCTCAACCAGCCTTCAACAGAAGGCTGCCGGAAGTACCGGATCGCAAGCAGAAGTACTGGATCGACGTCAAATGGTATCGTCGTCGGATTCGCGCTATCGTCGTACTGAAATCCCCGCCACCACCAAAATGTTTTCTGAAATTATCTCTCTTTCACGTCGTTTCTCTCTGCTATCTCTCTTTCTCACCGTCTTTTTTTGTTACCGGTGGTGGTTCGATTTTAGAGGTGGCGGTGGCGGTGGCGGTTAGGTTTAATGGGTTTAATTTTAGGTAAGATCGAGGATTTTTATGCATTTGATTTGTCTGGATGGTTGCATCAGGTTTTGATTAGGTTGAATTTTTTTTTGGATTGCATTAGGTTTGGTTTCTCTATATTTTTTGTGCTCGCCGGAGTTGATAAAGGAGATTTTGGTGCTCAGGATTTCAATAAAGACATGGTGTTGAGCAACTCCATAGAACAAGAAGGGACAAAGCAGAGAGGTCAGGGCGCTCCACTGATTTCCGACTACGGTGATCCGTGAATTGGTGGTTGCCGGCGATGGAGGCCTGGGGAAGAATCTGAGGAAAAGGAAAAAGATGAGCGGGGGTGGGAGTTAGGAAATGGTGGTGGGACCCAATGATTTTTTTATTATAAATAAGTATTTACTGGTTATTTAAAATGTGGAAAAATATAGTAAGGGTAAAATTGTCTTTTCATGTCTGTCAGGGACCATAACCGAAACAAAAACAAACTAGAGGGATGGTCCGAGTGCAAAAAAAACGTTAGGGACCAAACTCGTAATTTTGACGAAACCACAGGGATGATTTCAGTAATTTACTCTATTAATTTACTTGTAAAACTCTAAAGTCTAATCTCACATCTAAATGTATATGTATGTATGACAGTATGGGCAGCAAATGCTTGTTGGTCAACCACGACAGGTGGTCTACATGCCAACTTATCCTCCAGTAAGAAACTTTGCTTTTTTCTTCCTCTCCATTTTCATTATAAAAGGTTAATCACATTTTCTTGAGAAAAAAAAGAAAAGAAAAACTTATCATGTTTTACTGTTGACAGGAAATGCCATATAAAGGAAGAGAGTTTTAGGTTGTTGAATGGAAGGATTTGAGATGCTGATTAAAAAGAAGAATAACAGAATTTGGAAACAAGTGTTTGTTTGATTTACTGATGAAAGGAAGGAAGACAAGAAACATATGGATTTGCACAAGGGAAAGGAAAAAAACATAACCGTCTTAATTACCATGACTAACACCCGTTTGTTTCTTTGTTTCTTTGTCCTAGCATGTCTGTCTCATCCTGCTTCTTTTCGTTTCTTTTATTTTCTCTTGTGGGTGATTTTTTTTTTTTTTTAGCTTGTGTTATTTGAAAAATGAACCACATAAAATTGAAAAGAAAGCACCTTTTTTTTTTGACATCCTGCCACTGTTGCTTTAATAATATATTAAATTAAATTAACTTTTACAAAGTATAAGTGTCTGTGTGCGGTAGATTGGTGGTTGTTTGCTAGTGGAGTGGCAGTTGGAAGTTCCTTTAGACGAATTATAGTCTAAAATAATGTACAAACTCTAAACTATATTTTGGAAAAAACCGTATGTTAATCCGACTTTAAACGAATGAGATATGCATGTTTTAACATTTTCACAAAATACGAAGTACAAAAAAAAATAATTGAAATGTTAAAAATTTTCAGTTTTGATATCCCGACTTCGGGAGACTTTAATTCATTGAATATTAAATCAAAAATGACAAAATTATAGTCTAAACTCATGTACAAACTCTAAACTATAAGTTGGAAAAAAATGCATGTCAATCTGACTTCAAACGAATTAGATATGCATGTTTTAAAATTTTCACAGAATACAAAAAAGTTGAAAAACAAAAAACTTCCAGCTTTGATATCTTAATTTTGGGAGAGTGTAAGTCAATGAATATAAAACTAAAAATGACAAATTTATAGTCTAAAATCATGTACAAATTCTAAACTACACATTGGAAAAAAACGACATGTCAATCCGACTTGGAACAAATGAGATATGCATGTTTTAAACTTTTCACAGAAACCGGTTCCGGCCCCTAAAAGTGGTTCCGGTTCCTAACATTGGTTCCGGTTCCTAAACCCGGTTTACTTGGACCCGATGGACCCAAACCCGGATTACCCGGAATCCGGATAAAGCCATTCTTTAAACCCGGAACCGTAAAGTTTTATATATTCAGGTTCCGGTTTTAAATCTCATCCCTATATCAGAATGGGTATCACCACACATTGTGATATGTGATGTATCACCACGGTGATGCGGTGAATATGACACCATTCAATTATGGGAGGTGTGTTAAGGCCACCGCACGAGAAAGTTATACAACTTTTTTTTAACGTTGCTTGACCGTTTTGTAACATCCCGAGATTTGTAGCTATTTCCGAATCCCTTCTTTTATTATTACCTTGTCAATTGTAGTCCCTGGGGATGGAAGAGTGAAGCCATGAGAAGCCTAAGGGCTAAAGTTTCAACTTTGGGATCAAGAAGAGTACGCTAAGCGTACATAAGGTACGTTGAGCGTACTAGGCGCGCCCTAGTACGCTGGGCGTACTCACGTCAGATGGAAACCCTAATATTTAGGGTTTGGGTGCGATATAAACGTCATTATGAGCTCAAAACCCTCCATCATCTCAGCCTCTATAGCTTTGAGCTGTTTTCTTCAAACCCTAACCCCTCTCTTGAGTGTGTGAGCTAAAAGTGTGTGTTTTGAGTAGTTGGAAAAGAAGATATTGCATCAAGAAGTTGGAGAAGGAAGACAAGCTTGTAGATCTGAGGTTACTTTGTGCTCTAGAAGCTCCAGGAGGTAAAAAGCTCCAACCTTTATGTTTGTATGATGTAGATCTAGTCATAGTAACTTTATGAAGCCATTTCTTGTCCAAAAAGTCCCAAGTTGGTGCATGTTATGTTTTGAACGTAATAAGTTGTCCTTTCAGACCCTAGAAAGGGTCATAAGTGATAAAAATAATGTCCCAATGGCTAAAAGTGTCCCATGCATGTAGTAGAAAGGTCTTAATGGGTTAAGACCATGTATTAAGAACTTTATGGACGTCTAAAGTCTTAAAGTTCGAGACTTTATGGTTCTAAGACACATTTGGTCGATGGATCTGGATATTGGGCTTAAGTGCTTAAGCCATTAAGCACTTATTAGAGTTTTGGTAAAGCTTGCGTACTCCCCGCGTAAGTTCTGTACGCCCAACGTACTGGGTCAACCACCCCGATGGTGGTCAACGCAAGGCGGAGTACACCCAGCGTACCAGAGGAGTACGCCCCGCGTACGCCCTCTGTTGGGCTTTTGGCGATTTGGGCTTCGGGGTTGGGCCACTTTTGGGCCAGTTTGACATGGGCCTTGCTGGACTTTCTGAATAGATGTGTTTTGGGCCAGTTTTGGTAATGGGTCTTAAAATGAGGCCCAATTAGGGAGTTGGGCCCAATTGGGAAAATTGGGCCAATGATGGGCCTTGTATATGTGGACTTTTGGATCATGGATTTGGTATTGGGCCTTGGCCCAAATTTTAGAAAAGGCAATAATGGACAATTACCCTATGTGAGACCCTTGGTCAAGATTAATATCCCAATTGTTCACTTAGTATTCGTTATTTTGGATAGTTCGGGATTTTCGGTGAGACAGCGGTTGGAGACTTTCAGTCCAGTTCAACACTACTTGTGAGGTGATTTCTTCTCACTATATCAACAGGGTCTAAGGCACCAAGGCCGACCCTTTTTGGATTGTTATCCTGGTTATAGTATGCTTGTATGCAGTCATGATATGTTAGATCGGTATCCTGGTAGATATGATGTAGTTATGCTATTATGATATGTTAGATCGGTATCTTGGTAGATAGGATGATGCTATGCTTAGTGATCTGTATGATTTGTACTTGTCTGTTGATTATTATGTGTTATGAGTATGTCGACATATGTATGTATATTTGGGTTGAGTTGGTCCTGCTTTGTGCTGAAGGCCAACAAACCTAGGGCGGCCCAGATAGACTGAAGGCCCTATGAGGCGGTCCAGTCAGGCCGAAGGCCCGACGAGCGGTCCGGATAGGCTGTAGGCCCTGCGAGGCGGTCCAGACGTGCCGAAGGCTCGGGAGCGGTCCAGATAGGCTGTAGGCCCTACGAGGCGGTCCAGTTAGGCTGATGGCCCAATATGCATGTTGTTTGTATGATATTGGTATGGTTTGTATGACGTTGGTATTTTGGGGGAACTCACTAAGCTTCGGGCTTACAGTTGTTGATTTTGTTTCAGGTACTTCAGATGATCGCGGGAAGGCGAATGCGTGGCCGTACACTTCCTCACATTTTATGATTTGGATTTCTAAGATACTCCGATGTCTAAACTATTTTGAAAACACTTTGTAATAATTAATGGTTTTGAATGGTTGAAAAAGCTTTAAATTGGCTTGAATTTTATGGATGTTACAGTTTTTTAACGTGTATTTTTCAAAATTTCCCCTCTATTATAAATAAATTTTGCATTTTTAACCACAAAAAAAAAAACAACAAACACTTCTATTATATGCTTTATATTTACAATTCGAAAATGTCTTCATCGTCATCTACGTTGTCGGATACGTTGACGTTGTAGGAATCAGCATTTATCGGGGACATTATGCGAATACCACTAGCTTATCTACAACAAAATGAAGCCCAAAGTTTGCGTTTAAAAATTAGAAATCCTCCTTTGCAGAGAAATTGTGAAGTCATGCACAACCAACTTGTGAATGACTACTTTAACGATGATTCGGTCTATGCAGAAAAATTCAGACGTCGGTTCCAGATGAGGAAATAATTATTTCTGCACATTGTTGATGATATAAAATATCGATTTCCATATTTTCAGTAGAGGATTCATGTAAGAGGTAATAAATGTTTCTCTACATTTACAAAATCTACGGTTGTAATTTGTTAACTAGCATTTGACATGTGACCAGACTCATGGGATGAGTATTTGAGGATGTTAGAGCGAATAAAACAAGAAGGTCTATACAAGTTTAATAAAGATGTGATTATCCTCTATCGTGGTCATTATTTACGTAAGCCTACAATTAGGACACCCACCAGCTGTATAGCTGTATATGGTGCATGAAAACAAGCATGAGTTCTGTGGAATGCTTGGTAGTATTGATTGTATGCATTGGGGGTGATCAATGTTCCCTAATGGATGACGTTGTCAATTTATTCGAGATGATCCAAAACATCCGACAATAATTTTAGAAGCAGTGGCATTCTATGATATTTGGATATGACATATTTTTTTTGGTACAACGGATTCCAACAACGACATCAATGTTCTAAACCAATCACCAATATTCAACATCTACCTTGAGAAACTGTATGATGTGACGTTTCAAGAAAATAGGACATCATGTCCAAACGATGAAAAGCGAATAAAGTTTAAGTCGGCCCAATAATCAACTAGGAAGGATATCGAGCTAGCCTTTGGTATTCTAAAGAGACATTGACCGATATTTTCAGTATCGACATGATCATGCGAGCGAAAAAGAATAACTAGCCTGATGTACTGCATTATATTGCATAATATGATTATAAAAGACGAAGAAAAGGCGATTTGCCACTACAATGAAATGAGAATTTACCAACATTCAAAGGAGTGGGTATTGGTACACCGAAAAACATGACGAACAGATAAGAGGTATACGATCGAGTTGGACACCACAACATTAATGTTGATTTGGTGGAGCATGTCTTTAATGTGCAAGTAAATCCCGTTGTCGATGACTTTTACGACGATTTGTTCGACGACACAAATGACGCATCATATATGTTTGTAGATGATTCGGGTGAGAATTATGATGACTTTATGACCAACGATGATTAGGTGCGTCGTACTATTTTACCATGTTTCAATTATGTTTTTTTTATTTGTCTTTTTTAAGTATATAAGTTTTTTTTTTCATAATATCACATGTATTTAACGATCAATCTAGTCATAATGTTTTTTTTTTATTTAAAAAATCCACATAATCCATATATAATCCATATATTTCTATAATACACGGGCGATGTTATGTACCTTAAAGGTGGGTCAATTTGACACATCTATTTTTTTTATTATAATAATTTTTATAGAAATAAAAATTTATAAACTATCTTATTATTTTAAACAAAGTTATATATAAATCAAGATTTTCAAAACCCATATTTTATATTTTAATATCCAAGATAACTAATTCATTAAGGTATAATCCAATAAGAAATAATCCTGAATTCAAATAAAAGAAAAAAAATTGTTTGACAATTAGCAGACTTTTCATTCTTCAAGACTCTGATTCCTGCTTCATACCTTCACAAATCGCCGATCATCAGCACATGTTGCTATCGCCGACAGCCTCTCCTCCATCAGAGCCGACGACGAATCTGGCCTCCGACAATCTTCCATTCTCAACAACAATTGTTGTTCATCTTATAGTTCAAAGATCAGAGATAACAGGTTCACCTTGTCATTATGTGTAGTGTTATTATAATTATGTATGACATTATGTCATATGAGAGGTTCACAGGATAGTAACATGTAATATTACCAACTTGAGTTATTTATTGTGTTTTGTCATTAGCATATAAACTAGCCCTGTCGAAATACCCGATACCCGAATTACCCGCCTGATTTTTTCGGGTAACGGGTAAATCGGGTCGGGTAAATCGGGTATCGGGTAACCCGATTTTTTTTCAGGTCGGGTATAGGGTACGATTGTTGGGTTTCGGGTATATCCGAATTACCCGAATTATTTTAAAAATTCTTTCGGGTAACGATTGTTGATTTTTTTTTATCGATTTCATTTAGATAGTGAATCATATGGTTTTACATTCCAAACTTAACATTGCTATAATAATAATAATGTTAACCTAAAACTTATTGTTATTAGATGCATCTAACAAGTAGATATATTCAAATTATAACTCTCATTAGCTTCTTGTATTTTTCAAAACAAAAACCATCCAACATTTTCTTTCATAGTGATTCATCACATCTTTATGTACCAAACCAAAACCAACGTTAATCTCCTTTCATTCGCATGACAACTAGAAGAAAAACCTCAAAATAAAACTTAAAAATGTAAAAAATAAAGTAAAATAAAATAAAAAATCACATGGTCTACATCACCCAAATCAATACCAACAAAATCTTAACTGTCACCTCACGTACCCCACACTCAGAAAAAATAAAAAATAAATATTAAATTAATTTTATATTCCTTTTAATGGTTACTTGGACCTGGGCCTGGCCCAAGATTCGACATTCTAAGGCCCTGATTTTGATTGAAAGAATTGATCTTCTCAAGCTTTAACCCGGCCCGAAACCTTGCAATAAAAGTATCAGCTTTCGTGTCAACGTCAGGGCTCGGGCAAAACAACGGCGATGGAGCGGCGGATGACGGCGAATGGGCATCATCTCCGTCAGGAGACACACTACCCGAGCTCAATGTGCTCTGTACTCTAACATAATCACCTTCCACCGGAAACTTCCAATCCGGCATCTTAAACGGCGGCATTGGTGGTGGAGGAGGAATTCGATTCATTGGAGATTCTCCGCCGCTTGAGCTATCATCAATGCCGTTCAAAAAATGCATCTTTACTGGTACTCGAGGTTTCTCTGTTATGAATGGCGACACCCGGGTTATGTTTGGTTTTGGAGCACGCGCCGCTGTACGTGGCGGCGGCGGAGGAGGAGGAGAAGGAGGTATTGATGATGCGTTCTTCTTTCGTCTTTCTTTTTTAGATGTAAATAAGTTGTTGAGAACTGAAGAAGGTGGAGGTGGAGGTGGCGGCGGAGGAGGCGGCGGTGGTAGATGAAAGTTTACAGGTGGTTGACTATGGCGTAAAAGAGTGTCTAAATTGTCCATGCTTCTTTGCCTTTGCCTTTTCTTCTTTTTTTGGTAGAACGATGTGAAGAATCGTTTAGTTGCATTCCCACCGGTCCTTTTCCGTTCCACCCCGCCCGTATTTCGCTCGGGGTCTTGAAATTCCGGCAAGATCCGCGGGGGAGATGGTGATTCTGGTGCCGGATCGTCAATTGGCGACGCCAGTTTTCTGGGTTCTGAGCTTCTTGCCCTTCTTCTCTCTCCTTTACCTCTTTTTCTACTAGGTTCTCCCCTTCGCTCGGAATCTTGAAATACCGGCGGCTCTGTTTCCGGCAATACTTCATTAACCTCCGACCTGCTACTTATTTCACCGTCGTCTGCAGCAACATTATGATATCTTCTGATTGGCTTCTTTTTTGCAGCACTAGGCCTAGGAGCCGGTGGCTGCGGAGGCAGAGATTGTGGAGAAGGCAGCTGTGGCGGCGGAGAATATGATTCATCTTCAGGAGCTGGCGGTTGTGACGGCCGAGAGTACGATTCGTCTTCAGGAGCTTGCGGCTGTAGCGACGGAGGATACGACTCTTCTTCGGGAATCGGTGGTTGTGGCGGCGGCGGCGGAACATATGAATCTTCTTTAGGAAGGTCCACCACCGTATCAACATGAACCTCCTTAGTATCTGAATCTTGTTCTCGCCGGAAATAATATCGATCATAGTTCAAAACCCGGTGACTGTTCAAATGTGTATCATCGGAGAATCGCCAAGGAGCTTCCACACGGTGGTTCCACGGCGGCGATAGCTCCCGTAGATCAGGGTAAGAACTAGTACTCCTATGCCTTCTTAGCCCAGTGATCGGTTGATCCGGAAACTCATACCATTGATGTGGGGTTGAGCTCGACGGAGTTGCAACAAGAGCTCCGGTGGATAAATCCGATCTACTCCGATCAAATCCAAATTTTTGATCATTATTGATGTTTCTACTAAGAAACCCAAATGCCAACGCAACTAAAACCAACACCAAATTAATTGAATCCCAACTCCTTTTAACTAAATTTGGTCTAAAAATCTGAGATGTGAATGAAATAACTGATGGGATTATGAATACCATGGAAAGAATTGCAAATACGAGCAAGAGGATGATGAGGACACCGGAGTTGAAAAAGAGAGAGGAGGCACGGCGGCGGTAAAGCTCAGCACGGCGGACATTGGTGGTGCTTTGTATCCAAAATGGGGTTCTAGGTGTCTCTTCACCATCTTCCTCCATAAGCTTCGGTGGGTTTCTTTGATGAGAGAGAGAAGAAAAGAAAAAAGGAGGAAATGAGGGTTTGAGAATGCTTTTGTGTTGTTTGCTTTAAGCTTTTGGTAAAGTCATTATATAATATAATGCCATTTTATTAAAAAAATAAGAAAAAGTATTAACTTAGATTCATTTGTAGCATTCTTTTGATATATCTTTTCTTTTACACTTCAAAAAGCTATTTTTGTGAAACATTTATGATGTGAAGAAAGAAGGTAAAAAATTTATCCCATGCCAAATGTTAACAACAAACTCCGAAGACACATTATACACGATATTAAATTTGCAGATGTAAGAATTACGTTGCGGCGTATACAGAAAAGGTTACTTATTACCATTTATAATTTTGAAAATGTCTTTAAGCGTAAGATAATACCAATAATAAATTCTTATAAATCAAAATAATAACATCAACTTATTTATAATAATAAAGACAAATTTCAAGGAATTTTTCTTTTTTGGTTCAATTTTTTTTATTTAACCATTTTTTATTTTTTTTTCGTTCGTACAGTAAAAAAAATTTACCATAAAATTTTGAATTTATAAATAACACTATACTTTTATATTTTTTTATTTTAATCATTCAGATATTTTTTTTATCTAACCACAAAGTTATAAAAATAATGATAATAACATTTTAGCTGGTTTTTTCCTAACTATACGATAAAATAATAATAATAATAATAATAATAATAATAATACTTTAGCCAAATACAAGGGTTTTCCTAACTATATTATAATAATAATAATAATAATAATAATAATAATAATAATAATAATAATAACACTTCAGCCAAATACAAGGGTTTTTGTATTATATGATGATAATATGACACATCATTTTACTAAATATGATACATCTTTGATTATAGATAATGAATATGAAAACTAAATATATTTGAATGACCATATAGCTTTTATATTTACCGTTTTGTTATAAATATAATATCATAATCTTTGATAGATAGATTTGATAGAAATATATGATTATGTGTAATATATTCTAATAAAGACAAAAATTGAAACTTAGACGCTAATACTATATTAAGATTGTTTAAACGTTTTGTTTAACTCCATAATTTTTTTTTTCAAAATGTTATAATATTCTTTAATATAATTATGTTCTACGTGTTTTTAAAGCACATTTAAGATTTCATTAATAATCCAATATTAAAAAAAAATACATATTAAAAAACATCTATATTATTTGAAAAAACTCTTATATGCAGTTAAACTTGTTTTTGATTCAAAGTTTTTATAAAAGGATGTGGGTTTCTTTCTATAAGAAAACAAACTATATATTTCATGTCACAAAAAAGAGTTTGAATATGGAGAAGCATATAATATATAGTTGAAATTGAGCTTCTTTTGGAACAGTAAAACTCCCAAAACGTGTACACAAAGTTAAGCATTGGTTAATGAAGACAAAAGAGCAAGTGTATTATTTAGTATTGTGTGGGGTGTGTATTTGTTGACTCTATTGAACTAAAACAGAGCACAGGATGCCGTGTATAGGACAGGTTACAGATCGACCCCGCGTATCGTGATTTATGGGTCATATATATTTAATAATAATAACACAAAGACATTCCATTTCGATATGGTCTACAACAAATTATTTGTATACATACGATAAATTGATTAGATACGTAATTTAATAAAAACAAATTTAATAATCGAACAAATATCTAAAATAACTACTGATAAATAAAGTATTTTAAGCCGAAACAATTGTAACCAATCAATTAACCGTGACATAATTTAATTTGGTAAAATATTATTATTATTTTTAAGGTGATAAAGAAAATCGGGAAATAAAGGCTTCTCCATTCGTCCATGTGATTTTTGGTAAATCTAAAAGACAGCTACCAATTTCACAAAACCAGAAATGCAGAAAACAATTGACCCAAACATCTGCTCAAATAGTGTCTAAGATATTTTATAAACTCATCCCCTCAAATTTATATAATGAAATTTATTTATCTATTTTGTTTTATTTTCAAAACCACTTCTCCACCATAGTCCACGGTATGGATGAGCTCCAACCCACTGGCCGAAGTATTTTTTATGAATACGATTGAATACAAGAAATAACAAACATATATTTATTTATTTGTTTATTAGGTTATAACCCGTAGATTTCACAGTTCACAAAATAAAACATTTAGAATATCCCAAAGAATTATATTAGAACTAATAAATAAGCAATATATTGAAAACATAAAATAATTACTAACATATAATCGAATTTAACGAATAGGTAATACCAACATTCGAATTGGCTGATCTATTTATTTTGATTGCGTGAAGTTGTTCTTCTCTAATGAAGATTATATAGGAAGTTTTGTAGTAAAAAAAATAGGTATGCTTTCAAATTTCATTTTTCAATAATAGTTTCCGGATTTATTGATGCAGAAAAGTCCAACCCTTTATCATATTACATTAAAAAAAACTCTTATATTATATTTACCTTCACAAAAGCCCTTACATTATAAAATACATTTCACTAAAACCCAAATAACCAGTTACATTACCTCATGACCGGATGACCTTGAATAAAAAAAAGACCCACGTGAATAAACTTAAAACCCCCCTTTTATACGTTGACAATAACTTCACAATCGATTAAAACCAAAAGAAAACATAAGGAATTAGGGTTTATCCCATCTCGCTACTTCATCTTTCTACTTCGATTTCAACAGAAAAATGAATTTAGGATCGTATGAAATTGAAGAAGGAAGATGATCAATCCCAACCACTGGTTTGTTTCTCGGTCAAAAAGGGTGTACTTGAATGCAATCGTGAAGGACAACAAGGAAGCAGTAGCTGCACTTCACACACGAATCAATGACTTCTTCTTCTTCGTCTTCAAAATATAGATGCAGGCCGGTAAAACAACTCAAAGAAAAAGAAGATTTAGATCATTGTGGCTGTGGTTACGAATCCAGAATGTGGATTTCAACTACGACTAAGAACCCTAAAATACGATTTTACAAGTGCCCTTATTGGGTAAGTTCATAAATAGATGAAATAAAAATGTTTTAGCTTCTTTTTTACTTACTTTCTAACTCACTGCTCAGGGTTCAAGTGAAGATTGCAAGTATTTTAACTGGATTGACCCGGAGTTGAACGGGTACTATAACCAAGAAATGAATAAGCTTATTGCTGAATCAAAGTTGAATGGGTACTATAAAGAAGAAAGGAATAAGATTATTGTCGAATTAAAGGGGAATGAAGGCAAATCTTGAAGTGTTAGAGAAGGGAAAGAAGCCAAATATTGAAGTGTTGGAGAAGAAGAACAATACTATCAAAGTAATTGTTAGCTTATTGGCATTTGTGTTTGTTGTACTAATTATCAATTGGTTTGCAATTAGTCTTTTCAGGGATTAACTGTTGTAAGGGTATGTAGTGTTGTATCAAGTTATCATGGTTTTAGTAGTCTTTATAGCAATGTATTTCACTATGAATTGTTGTATCTAATGGTTGTTGAAATATTAAATTTAGGAAGTTGGTTTCTTACTGTTTGTTGATGTTAAATATCATATTGTTAGTAGTCTTTATAGCTTTTGTTCTGTTGTAAGGGTATGTAGTTTTTGTTGTACTCATACAAAGTTTGTTGTGAAAATAGTTCATGTTCTTAACAAAAGTTCTATAAGGGCATTTTAGTATACAGACTTGTTGATCACAATTATGGTCCTTCTTTTGTGCAGATTCAAAATGAAATAGGCTTGTCTATCACAATTATGGTCTGTGACATCCCCATTTTCACGGCCAGAAAAAAACGATTTTTGTTTATGCTTGTTTGAAAATCAGAGTAACATTTTAAATAAAAGTATTGCGGAATTTGTCCCATAACAAAATATGATAAAGATTTATCAAAAGCATTTCCAAAGAAATGTATTTCATTAAAAGACTCGGGATGTCATGTTCGATACAGATAAAAAGCATAAACAGTACAACATAAGCCTTACTACATTATTTCGTATTTACAGGCCTATAATCCCTTATCTATCATCCAAACATCTATGCTCATGCAACCACTACCTGTAATACAAGAAACCGAGTGGGTCAGGCTTGGGAGTCTGGTGAGCACATAGGGTTTTCAACCCACAATAAATAAATTTATTATTTTCATCAACCAAACAACCCGATTACCCCTTCCCGTTATCCTCACTTTACGTCCCTAAAACATCTAACACAAGGGATCTAGTCTAAGGACTTTCATCGGGGTGACAACACATGCTTTGGGGGTTCCTCAGCAATTCATGTCAAATAAGGCAACCATGTGGGGGATGGAGTACTGCTGGTGAGCACACAGTTCAAATAAACACCTACAGGTTGCGAGTCTGCTAGCGTTCCACTGGACTGTCTAGAATAGTCCGTGGTCGTCATCTATACTCCGCTAGATGACTGGATCATCAATAACATCTATAACGAGGCCTCTCATTATTATTTTTTTCACACAACAACTATTACATCTACCCATGTTTTACCCAACACATTTTGTAGTTATAAAATACATATACAGTTTAAATCATTTAAAACATGTATAAAATCGTTCATCTAGCATAGATAGCAAGTATACGGATAATATGCACACGTAGCACGTAATTTATATAAAATATTTCATACCTATGTGTAAGATGAAAGTAACTATGCACTCACCTTAACGTTTGATAGACGATTAGTGTTCTGGAATGGATGCGAGAAGGTCGAGTAGTATTTCTGTGAATACGAATCTCCGAGAAAATTTAGTTTCCTAAGGAAATATTAATATAATAATATTTGGAGGGTAGTTTGGTAATTAACCAAGGTATAGGGTCCGTTATGTTAATTAAATAACTTAGTTGGACTAAATTATAAATAATAATTTCCAAATGAGGGACCAATATGGAACATATAATCATAGTTTAGAGTTTAGGATCTGATTTGTAAGAGGTTTCCAAGGAAGGACCATTTGTGAATAA